GGCGACGATGACCCCGATTCCGATGATTCCGATTGTTAACACCCAGCGTTGCTGACAAATTCAGCGCTGTTCGGTAGTTATTCGCGAGAGAGAATATTTCGGTGGAAGGAAATTAGCAGTGTGAATGAAATTCACGAATGCTACGCTGACTTGCGCCACTTGTTAATTAATCATCGCAGAGTAAAATTAATGAAATCGTGCAAACTCTCGCGTGTATGTGAGACACTTTGAAGTTGGAATACTGGTGCTAGACGGGACTCTAGATATTCAGGTAGATATTGAGATATATTTCTGGATATTATACACATTTGGTAATTTTTTTACCCCTTTACCATACGAGCCACACTCGTAAAGATTATAGTTAAGATGAGACAACGAAGAATTTTATTTCAAATAAATTTGCATTTTAACAATTTCTGTGGCCCAAATAGTCCAGGTAATTCGTACTCATTTGGTTACTATCAGGCAATGTAGTTTGGCTCTATTTCAATATTAGTTATAAAATGTTAAGTGTAAGGTAAAAACAGACGGGATAACGAAGGTGAGCGGTGGAATAAAATATAAACGTGGGCGGTTAAAGAGAGTGAATCCTTGTATTTCGAACTATACTGCACGAGTGCTGATACAATTCTGTCTTTCCTGAAAAACCTAGTCAAGAGGACCCCCTTGACAATATGGCCTTTCTTAGCCTTGAGGCAGAACTATCCCTAGGAGGGGGAAACGCAGCAGAAGACTGCACATGGCCCACTCAAGCCTTCGCTTTTTGGACTTTTCTAACATAAGTTTCAGTACAATATTAATGCATTAGAAAATGGTTTAGCATCGTTTATAATTTATAATTCATCATCGTACGATATCCGAAGGCAAAAATTCCTATGTCGAGTCTGACTCGATTTTGTTTTTATAAAATTTTCCATTTCTTTCTCTCAAACTTCATTTTTTTATCGATTACCAAATGTAAATTCTATACAACACTTCGACATCTTTCTATTTCACACTAAAATTGCAAATACCACAAACAAACGTAGGTACCTGTTGGATTATAAGGAGAAATGAGTATGTGTCTGTGTAATAGTAACAGCAAAAATGATCAACATACTG